AAAAAGGTGGGGTGTTTGGGTTTTGGTGAGGGTATGTTGGGATGAAGGGTGGGGGGAGGTGAGGGCCCGGGTTTTTGGGGGAGGTAAACCCTTTACTGGGTTTTGGGGGGTTGGGTTTTTTACAGGTTTGGTGGTGTGGTTAATGAGTTGCTGGTACTGGGGTTAGACGGTTGCCGTGGGTAGGTTTAATATGGTACCACACCCTATCCAACTACCCGCAGCTTGATATGGCTGTGGGCGTTTTTCTGGGCATGGTGGGAAGGAGGGATGGGAAAAATGTGTTGACAATGGAAAAAAGCAAAGAAAATCAAGTGAATCTTTTACTTAAATTTTATGTGAAATATATTAAAAATATAAAAAATGTCATTAAATTTTTTCACCTTTTTTAGAAGCAACAAAAAAATGGGGTTTTCCGCCATTACTTTCTCTAAAGACACACGAACTGTTTTTCCGCCATTCCTTGCTCTAAAGACACAGAAATGATTCTCCGCCCCTTAATGTTGTAAGACACACGAAACTGGATCCCGCCCTTTAATTGTCTTAAGACACACGAAACTGGGTTCCCGCATTATTGCTCTAGAAAACACACGAACGGTTTCCACTTCCCCGCCTAGAAGACAAAAAAGAAACTGGATTCTCCGCCATTAAATTTCTCTGAAACAACGAAACGGTTCTCCGCCATTTAAATTTCCGTAAGACACACGAAAAATGGGTTCTCCGCCATTAATTTCTCAGAAGAACACGAAACTGGGTTCTCCCCTCAACCTTGCCTAAAAAAGGGAAAAGAAAAAAGGGTTTTCCACCTTAATTTCCGTAACACACGAAACTGGGTTTTTTTCCCCAATTTCCTTGTTCTAGAAGACGCATGAAACTAAACCCCCCCACTATTCAATTTGTTTTAGCCCCACAGGGGGACAGAAAACCCCCATAAATAAAAAATAAAATTAAATTTTTCCCGCAGTGAGCCACCACACACCCCCATTACCCTTACCCGTTTTGATAAAGCAAGCCAGTTTAGATTCCATTATTTTTTTATTATTAACAGTATAGTATTTTAATAATAATGTGTAGTAGCGCACAGTATCGTAATATAGAATAAAGTAAAGTCGTAGCAAAACCTTTGCAGCAGTAGTGCATTTTTCAAGGGAAAATGAAGTTAGGGGTTTTCAAGCTTGGGGGAAGGGGAAAGTAAACAATTTTTTTTTAAAAGGAAAGGTCAAAAAAAACATCGTTGTGATACTAAATGTTTGCAAGGGTTTTACTAGTCATTTGGGGATGACATAAACTCGGGCCCGCCCCCTGTGTTGTGGTTTGCTGTTGTTGGAGTGGTGGTGGATGTGGTTTGGAGCGGAAGTGGTTTAATTTAACCCGGGAAAGGTGGGGGGTTTGTTTAAATTTCCATCACCTTGTTAGGGGCGGGTTGGTGAACCCGACGGAGGGGGAGGGAACTGCTAACCTTTCCTCATCGCCCCCAAACACCAGCTTCTCTGCCAACACATCCCACGTCCTGAGCCCCCGCCTCCACACCCTCGAAGATCTGATGGCTGCAGCCAGGTACGTACCGGACTGACATTTCACTGTATATACACACACACACACACACACACACACACACACACACACACAAACAGCAACCGGTGAAGAGGCGGGGCCAGGAGCTAGGACTCGACCCCTGCAACCACAAATAGGTGAGTACAAATAGGTGAGTACACACACACACACATCTTACCTCCCTTCACCCTCACCTAATTTGGGGCTTAGTAACCCTCCTTAAGTTACGTCCTGATTAAAACGTGTGGAACATCTGGGTATCATAATTTGTAGACGTTTCTCCAGCCAGTGTTTTTATCAATACAGTAAAGTCATTTCTTGATTAAAAGTCTACAGATAAAGATACCCAAATGTTATACATGTTTCTAATTCTTGTAGGTAATGTATACCAAGGTACGAAAACTCAGAGTGGGTCGAAACTCCTCTCGTTTTCGTCCTGTCGTTCTCAAGCTTAACTTCATATTGCTCCTAAACGGACCGAAACATCGTCAGTTTGTATTATCTATACTCAGATTTAACAAGTTTTATTCTGAGACCATTATCAACCCCAACATTATTCTGAGACACCATTATCAACGACAGTATTATTCTGAGACACCTTTGTCAACCACAACATTATTCTGAGACACCATTATCAACGACAGTATTATTCTGAGACACCATTATCAACCACAACATTATTCTGAGACACCATTATCAACGACAGTATTATTCTGAGACACCATTATCAACCACACCATTATTCTGAGACACCATTATCAACCACAACATTATTCTGAGACACCATTATCAACCACAACATTATTCTGAGACACCATTATCAACCACAACATTATTCTGAGACACCATTATCAACCACAACATTATTCTGAGACACCATTATCAACCACAACATTATTCTGAGACACCATTATCAACCACACCATTATTCTGAGACACCATTATCAACCACAACATTATTCTGAGACACCATTATCAACCACACCATTATTCTGAGACACTATTATCAATCACAACATCATTCTGAGACACCATTATCAACCACACCATTATTCTGAGACACCATTATCAACCACAACATTATTCTGAGACAAACCATTATTCTGAGACACCATTATCAATCACACCATTATTCTGAGACACCATTATCAACCACAACATTATTCTGAGACACCATTATCAACCACAACATTATTCTGAGACACCATTATCAACCACAACATTATTCTGAGACACCATTATCAACCACAACATTATTCTGAGACACCATTATCAACCACAACATTATTCTGAGACACCATTATCAACCACAACATTATTCTGAGACACCATTATCAACCACAACATTATTCTGAGACACCATTATCAACCACAACATTGTTCTGAGACACCATTATCAACCACAACATTGTTCTGAGACACCATTATCAATCACACCATTATTCTGAGACACCATTATCAATCACAACATTATTCTGAGACACCATTATCAACCACAACATTATTCTGAGACACCATTATCAACCACAACATTATTCTGAGACACCATTATCAACCACAACATTATTCTGAGACACCATTATCAACCACAACATTATTCTGAGACACCATTATCAACCACAACATTATTCTGAGACACCATTATCAACCACAACATTATTCTGAGACACCATTAATCAATCACACCATTATTCTGAGACACCATATATCAACCACAATATTATTCTGAGACACCATTATCAACCACAACATTATTCTGAGACACCATTATCAACCACAACATTATTCTGAGACACCATTATCAACCACAACATTATTCTGAGACACCATTATCAACCACACATTATTCTGAGACACCATTATCAACCACAACATTATTCTGAGACGCCATTATCAACCACAACATTATTCTGAGACACCATTATCAACCACAACATTATTCTGAGACACCATTATCAACCACAACATTATTCTGAGACACCATTATCAACCACAACATTATTCTGAGACACCATTATCAACCACAACATTATTCTGAGACACCATTATCAACCACAACATTATTCTGAGACGCCATTATCAACCACAACATTATTCTGAGACACCATTATCAACCACAACATTATTCTGAGACACCATTATCAACCACAACATTATTCTGAGACACCATTATCAACCACAACATTATTCTGAGACACCATTATCAACCACAACATTATTCTGAGACACCATCAGTCATCTCTCCACCACGAAAATGTTAGCAAAATTTCTGTTAATCACGTACAATACTAAAATATTATTTAACAGTGCAGTACTGTGATATTACAGATTACAGTACTCAGTCTTCTGTATCAACAGACGGACTCCACTACTTCAGAATTCAGTCAAATTATGACATATCAGTTTCATGATCTGGTTTTGTTCCAAGTACGATACTGAGACTTCATATCCATTTCCCTTAGTCTTATCTTAGAGGTGAGAGGGACAACTTACGACTGCTACAATAAGAACGAGAGAGAAATTAATCATAACAAAGATGGCGTCCCTCGTTGTCTGCCATTTGTGATGCAAAAGAAGCCTTGTGCCCATTTCAGGACATTTATTAACTGATAAGCTGTATAGCCCTTGTGGCTTAGCGCTTCTTTTTGATTATAATAATAATAATATTAACTGATAAACTGATCCATGAAATTGTAGCGCTTATGAGTAATTTTCAAGCAAATACTTATTCTCTCTCTCAATATTATTATTATTAAGACGATATGGGAACATTGTAGTTTCTCACAGCTTATCTTATTCGATACTAGCTCTTATTTTGAGCTAGTATTTAGGAATTTTCTTTCACCTTATTATATGTAAACATTTGCTAAAATGTCTAGTAATGACTAGTAATGTCTAGTAATGACTAGTAATGTCTAGTAATGACTAGTAATTACTAGTGCGCAGAAGATATGGATCAAACAAGTGTGGAACGTCTGAATTAGCACTTAAAATGACTGGTACCAAAACTTGAGCCTCGTTTCGTAAAGTTTACCGACTTGTTCTTAGTTTACAGTCTTCACTTGGGGTAAATTTTCGTTCGTAAGTACACTGTGTACTTACATGAAATGCGCAGGAGCTGTGTGTCCGTGTGTTTACATTTTTACAACATCAGTAACATTACACAGCTCTCGTCAACATCAGGATGTTTATACGAACAGAAACACCAGACAACTGTCATCACAGCAAGACTAGCAACTGTCATCACAGCAACACCAGACAACTGCCATCACAGCAACACCAGACAACTGCCATCACAGCAACACCAGACAACTGCCATCACAGCAACACCAGACAACTGCCATCACAGCAACACCAGACAACTGCCATCACAGCAACACCAGACAACTGCCATCACAGCAACACTAGACAACTACCATCACAGCAACACCAGACAACTGCCATCACAGCAACACCAGACAACTGCCATCACAGCAACACCAGACAACTGCCATCACAGCAACACCAGACAACTGCCATCACAGCAACACCAGACAACTGCCATCACAGCAACACCAGACAACTGTCATCACAGCAACACCAGACAACTGCCATCACAGCAACACTAGACAACTGCCATCACAGCAACACCAGACAACTGCCATCACAGCAACACTAGACAACTACCATCACAGCAACACCAGACAACTGCCATCACAGCAACACCAGACAACTGCCATCACAGCAACACCAGACAACTGCCATCACAGCAACACCAGACAACTGCCATCACAGCAACACCAGACAACTGCCATCACAGCAACACCAGACAACTGCCATCGCCGCAACACCAGACAACTGCCATCGCCGCAACACCAGACAACTGCCATCGCCGCAACACCAGACAACTGCCATCACAGCAACACCAGACAACTGCCATCGCCGCAACACCAGACAACTGCCATCACAGCAACACCAGACAACTGCCATCACAGCAACACCAGACAACTGCCATCGCCGCAACACCAGACAACTGCCATCGCCGCAACACCAGACAACTGCCATCACAGCAACACCAGACAACTGCCATCACAGCAACACCAGACAACTGCCATCGCCGCAACACCAGACAACTGCCATCACAGCAACACCAGACAACTGCCATCGCCGCAACACCAGACAACTGTCATCACAGCAACACCAGACAACTGCCATCGCCGCAACACCAGACAACTGCCATCACAGCAACACCAGACAACTGCCATCGCCGCAACACCAGACAACTGCCATCGCCGCAACACCAGACAACTGCCATCGCCGCAACACCAGACAACTGCCATCGCCGCAACACCAGACAACTGCCATCGCCGCAACACCAGACAACTGCCATCGCCGCAACACCAGACAACTGCCATCGCCGCAACACCAGACAACTGCCATCACAGCAACACCAGACAACTGCCATCACAGCAACACCAGACAACTGCCATCGCCGCAACACCAGACAACTGCCATCACAGCAACACCAGACAACTGCCATCGCCGCAACACCAGACAACTGCCATCGCCGCAACACCAGACAACTGCCATCGCAGCAACACCAGACAACTGCCATCACAGCAACACCAGACAACTGCCATCGCCGCAACACCAGACAACTGCCATCACAGCAACACCAGACAACTGCCATCGCCGCAACACCAGACAACTGCCATCACAGCAACACCAGACAACTGCCATCACAGCAACACCAGACAACTGCCATCGCCGCAACACCAGACAACTGCCATCGCCGCAACACCAGACAACTGCCATCACAGCAACACCAGACAACTGCCATCACAGCAACACCAGACAACTGCCATCACAACAACACTAGACAACTGTCATCACAACACCAGACAACTGCCATCACAACACCAGACAACTGCCATCACAACAACACTAGACAACTGTCATCACAGCAACACCAGACAACTGCCATCACAGCAACACCAGACAACTGCCATCACAACACCAGACAACTGCCATCACAGCAACACCAGACAACTGCCATCACAGCAACACCAGACAACTGTCATCACAACACCAGACAACTGCCATCACAGCAACACCAACAAACTGCCATCACAGCAACACCAGACAACTGCGATCACAGCAACACAGACAACTGTCATCACAACACCAGACAACTGCCATCACAACAACACTAGACAACTGCCATCACAACTACACTAGACAACTGTCATCACAACAACACTAGACAACTGTCATCACAGCAACACCAGACAACTGTCATCACAGCAACACCAGACAACTGTCATCACAACACCAGACAACTGCCATCACAGCAACACCAGACAACTGCCATCACAGCAACACCAGACAACTGTCATCACAACATCAGACAACTGCCATCACAGCAACACCAGACAACTGCCATCACAGCAACACCAGACAACTACCATCACAGCAACACCAGACAACTGCCATCACTGCAACACCAGACAACTGCCATCACAGCAACACCAGACAACTACCATCACAGTAACACCAGACAACTACCATCACAGCAACACCAGACAACTACCATTACAGCAACACCAGACAACTACCATCACAGCAACACCAGACAACTGTCACCACAATACTGCCTACACTACCACTAACCCCCACCTCTACCACTAACCCCTACCACCAATACCACTAACCCCTACCACCAATACCACTAACCCCTACCACCAATACCACTAACCCCTACCACCAATACCACTAACCCCTACCACTAATACCACTAACCCCCACCACCACTACCACCAACCACCACTACCACCAACCACCACTACCACCAACCACCACTACTACAAACCACCACCACCATTCCACAGCCACCACTAACTACCACTAACCACCACCACCACAACAACAACCACAATATCCCTCCACAGCCTTAACTAACAATGCTCCAAATGGCCCATCTCTCTCACTTTCTCTCTCCTCATTCTTATAAATGAATGAGCCACTAAATTCCAAGTAATGAGACTTTTCCCATCCATTCATTCCACAGTCAAACTCTCAACATTTATTCTCAATATCTGTAAATTCTCTTGGGCCTAATTCTCCTAAAATTCTGCAGAATTTCGAGAATTTATTTTTTGCAGTTTTTGGTGGTTAAGATGTGACGGAATTAATAGATAGTGCGAAGTGAAGGAAGTAGATGGGAAATGAATGGAGTGAATGAAATGAGATGAAATAAGTAGATTAAATGAGTTGATGGAAGTAGATGAGACGAGATGAAGTAGAAAGTGGATAACACGAGATGAAGGAAGTAGATAACACGGGATGAAGTAGATAACACGGGATGAAGGAAGTGGATGAGCTGAAGGAAGTAGATAACACGGGATGAAGGAAGTGGATGAGCTGAAGGAAGTAGATAACACGGGATGAAGGAAGTGGATGAGCTGAAGGAAGTAGATAAACTGAAAGAAGTAAATGAAAAAAGAATGAACTGTACAAAAGGAGAGAAATTGATAAATCGAAATGAAAGAGGAAAACCAGAGGTGAAAAAAGAAAGAAAACGAAACGGGACGAAAGACATAAAAAAAGAAAATAGAAAAAGTGAAAGAAAAGCAAATGACGCGAGAGAGAGATAGAGAGAGATAGAGAGATAGAGATAGAGAGATAGAGAGAGATAGAGAGAGAGAGAGAGGTGGCCTCTTCCTTCATACCTCCTCCTTCAAGACACTTATTTTCCTTGACTTATGAGGCTATTTACTTTGGCCTATATAGCCATTTACTTTGGCCTATGTGACCATTTAGTTTGGCCTATGTGACCATTTAGTTTGACCTATATGACCACTTAGTTTGGCCTATATGACCATTTAGTTTGGTCTGTGGCCATTTAGTTTGGTCTATGTGACCATTTAGTTTGGCTTATATGGCCATTTAGTTTGACCTATATGGCCATTTAGTTTGCTCTCTGTGGTCAATTAGTTTGGCCAATGAGACCATCATCTTTTAACGAGAATAATTATAATGTAGAGAAAATTACCTACAATATAATAGGTAAAAGGCCAAAAGTGCAACTAATGCGACATTTTATTGACGAAGTTCCTGGAGAGCGAAACATTGTCACGGTAAAATGTCGCAGTGGTCGCGCTTGTGTCCTTTTACCTAATTAGAGTAATTATGCAACCAGGCCAGGAGGCCTGGTCACAGACCGGGCCGCGGGGGCGTTGACCCCCGGAACTCTCTCCAGGTAAATCTCCAGGTAAACTGACTAATACTCAAGCCAGAACTAAAATTATTGACTAATACTCAAGCCAGAACTAAAATTATTGACTAATACTCAAGCCAGAACTAAAATTGACTAATACTCAAGCCAGAACTAAAATTATTGACTAATACTCAAGCCAGAACTAAAATTATTGACTAATACTCAAGCCAGAACTAAAATTATTGACTAATACTCAAGCCAGAACTAAAATTATTGACTAATACTCAAGCCAGAACTAAAATTATTGACTAATTCTCAGCCAGAACTAAAATTATTGATAATACTCAAGCCAGAACTAAAATTATTGACTAATACTCAAGCCAGAACTAAAATTATTGACTAATACTCAAGCCAGAACTAAAATTGACTAATACTCAAGCCAGAACTAAAATTATTGACTAATTCTCAAGCCAGAACTAAAATTATTGACTAATACTCAAGCCAGAACTAAAATTATTGACTAATACTCAAGCCAGAACTAAAATTATTGACTAATACTCAAGCCAGAACCAAAATAATTTTCAATAAGACTTAAACGCAGAAAGATACCATCATACTAATTTTTAATTAGCTAAATCAGCAATAAATTAAGCCAAAAACATCAAAACGAAGACGCCAGAAATATCCCAGAGAGTCCTGCAAATCTGGCTTCTAATCTTAATGCATTTCTGTGATCACGATTCCTCCACTTGAGCTCAGGATCTCCCGACCAAAGGAAGTGCAGTAGATTCTCGCTAACAGCCAGGAAAATACTTTCTCGTTCAGGTAGGAATGTCTAAAAAAAATTGTCCCAGTATAAGGCATATATACCTGTAAACGTCTATTGATTATATCTCGAGGGTGTTTGGGGGCTGTGTATGTTCAGCAGCCCTATCTGCCCTATCAGCCCCTATGAGCCCCTCAAAGAGAATTTGATAAGACTGGTTCCTCGTTTTGGATATAAAAAGAAAAATCAATGATTAAGGAATTTTATTAATATATAAAACTAGTAAAGAATATTAAATGCTTAAACATGAAATTAATCCTAAATGAAGTAATGAAATGAAAATTAAATATATAATTAGTGACTCAAAGTTAATATGTACACAATACATAGTGGAGAATAGTGCCATGCTGGTGTTCTGGTGCCATGCTGGTGTTCTGGTGCCATGCTGGTGTTCTGGTGCCATGCTGGTGTTCTGGTGCCATGCTGGTGTTCTGGTGCCATGCTGGTGTTCTGGTGCCATGCTGGTGTTCTGGTGCCATGCTGGAGTTCTGGTGCCATGCTGGTGTTCTGGGTGGTATGCTGGTGTTCTGGTGCCATGCTGGTGTTCTGGTGCCATGCTGGTGTTCTGGTGGTATGCTGGTGTTCTGGTGCCATGCTGGTGTTCTGGTGCCATGCTGGTGTTCTGGTGCCATGCTGGTGTTCTGGTGGTATGCTGGTGTTCTGGTGCATGCTGGTGTTCTGGTGCCTTGCTGGTTTCTGGTGGTATGCTGGTTGTTCTGGTGCCATGCTGGTGTTCTGGTGGTATGCTGTGTTCTGGTGCCATGCTGGTGTTCTGGTGCCTTGCTGGTGTTCTGGTGCCATGCTGGTGTTCTGGTGCCATGTGGTGTTCTGGTGGTATGCGGTGTTCTGGTGCCATGCTGGTGTTCTGGTGCCTTGCTGGTGTTCTGGTGCCATGCTGGTGTTCTGGTGGTATGCTGGTGTTCTGGTGGTATGCTGGTGTTCTGGTGGTATGCTGGTGTTCTGGTGGTATGCTGGTGTTCTGGTGGTATGCTGGTGTTCTGGTGCCTTGCTGGTGTTCTGGTGGTATGCTGGTGTTCTGGTGCCTTGCTGGTGTTCTGGTGGTATGCTGGTGTTCTGGTGCCTTGCTGGTGTTCTGGTGGTATGCTGGTGTTCTGGTGCCTTGCTGGTGTTCTGGTGGTATGCTGGTGTTCTGGTGCCTTGCTGGTGTTCTGGTGGTATGCTGGTGTTCTGGTGCCTTGCTGGTGTTCTGGTGGTATGCTGGTGTTCTGGTGCCTTGCTGGTGTTCTGGTGGTATGCTGGTGTTCTGGTGCCTTGCTGGTGTTCTGGTGGTATGCTGGTGTTCTGGTGCCTTGCTGGTGTTCTGGTGGTATGCTGGTGTTCTGGTGCCTTGCTGGTGTTCTGGTGGTATTGCTGGTGTTCTGGTGCCTTGCTGGTGTTCTGGTGGTATGCTGCTGTTCTGGTGCCTTGCTGGTGTTCTGGTGGTATGCTGGTGTTCTGGTGCCTTGCTGGTGTTCTGGTGGTATGCTGGTGTTCTGGTGCCTTGCTGGTGTTTCGGTGGTATGCTGGTGTTCTGGTGGTATGCTGGTGTTCTGGTGCCTTGCTGGTGTTCTGGGGGTATGCTGGTGTTCTGGTGGTATGCTGGTGTTCTGGTGCCTTGCTGGTGTTCTGGTGGTATGCTGGTGTTCTGGTGGTATGCTGGTGTTCTGGTGCCTTGCTGGTGTTCTGGTGGTATGCTGGTGTTCTGGTGCCTTGCTGGTGTTCTGGTGCCTTGCTCGTGTTCTGGTGCCATGCTGGTGTTCTGATGCCATGCTGGTGTTCTGGTGGTATGCTGGTGTTCTGGTGGTATGCTGGTGTTCTGGTGGTATGCTGGTGTTCTGGTGCCATGCTGGTGTTCTGGTGGTATGCTGGTGTTCTGGTGGTATGCTGGTGTTCTGGTGCCTTGCTGGTGTTCTGGTGCCTTGCTGGTGTTCTGGTGCCATGCTGGTGTTCTGGTGCCATGCTGGTGTTCTGGTGGTATGCTGGTGTTCTGGTGGTATGCTGGTGTTCTGGTGGTATGCTGGTGTTCTGGTGGTATGCTGGTGTTCTGGTGCCTTGCTGGTTGTTCTGGTGGTATGCTGGTGTTCTGGTGCCTTGCTGGTGTTCTGGTGGTATGCTGGTGTTCTGGTGCCTTGCTGGTGTTCTGGTGGTATGCTGGTGTTCTGGTGCCTTGCTGGTGTTCTGGTGGTATGCTGGTGTTCTGGTGCCTTGCTGTGTTCTGGTGGAAATGCTGGTGTTCTGGTGCCTTGCTGGTGTTCTGGTGGTATGCTGGTGTTCTGGTGCCTTGCTGGTGTTCTGGTGTATGCTGGTGTTCTGGTGCCTTGCTGGTGTTCTGGTGGTATGCTGGTGTTCGGTGCCTTGCTGGTGTTCTGGTGGTATGCTGGTGTTCTGGTGCCTTGCTGGTGTTTGGTGGTATGCTGCTGTTCTGGTGCCTTGCTGGTGTTCTGGTGGTATGCTGGTGTTCTGGTGCCTTGGTGTTCTGGTGGTATGCTGGTGTTCTGGTGCCTTGCTGGTGTTCTGGTGGTATGCTGGTGTTCTGGTGGTATGGCTGGTGTTCTGGTGCCTTGCTGGTGTTCTGGGGGTATGCTGGTGTTCTGGTGGTATGCTGGTGTTCTGGTGCCTTGCTGGTGTTCTGGTGGTATGCTGGTGTTCTGGTGGTATGCTGGTGTTCTGGTGCCTTGCTGGTGTTCTGGGGGTATGCTGGTGTTCTGGTGCCTTGCTGGTGTTCTGGTGCCTTGCTGGTGTTCTGGTGCCATGCTGGTGTTCTGGTGCCATGCTGGTGTTCTGGTGGTATGCTGGTGTTCTGGTGGTATGCTGGTGTTCTGGTGGTATGCTGGTGTTCTGGTGCCATGCTGGTGTTCTGGTGTATGCTGGTGTTCTGGTGGTATGCTGGTGTTCTGGTGCCTTGCTGGTGTTCTGGTGCCTTGCTGGTTTCTGGTGCCATGCTGGTGTTTTTGGTGCCATGCTGGTGTTCTGGTGGTATGCTGGTGTTCTGGTGGTATGCTGGTGTTCTGGTGGTATGCTGGTGTTCTGGTGCCATGCTGGTGTTCTGGTGCCATGCTGGTGTTCTGGTGCCATGCTGGTTGTTCTAGGTGCCATACTGGTGTTCTAGTGCTATGCTGGTGTTCTTAGTGCCATGCTGGGTTCTGGTGCCATGCTGGTGTTCTGGTGCCATGCTGGTGTTCTGGTGGTATGCTGGTGTTCTGGTGTCATGCTGGTGTTCTGGTGGTATGCTGGTGTTCTGGTGGTATGCTGGTGTTCTGGTGCCATGCTGGTGTTCTGGTGCCATGCTGGTGTTCTGGTGCCATGCTGGTGTTCTGGTGCCATGCTGGTGTTCTGGTGCCATGCTGGTGTTCTGGTGGTATGCTGGTGTTCTGGTGGTATGCTGGTGTTCTGGTGGTATGCTGGTGTTCTGGTGCCTTGCTGGTGTTCTGGTGGTATGCTGGTGTTCTGGTGCCTTGCTGGTGTTCTGGTGCCTTGCTGGTGTTCTGGTGCCATGCTGGTGTTCTGGTGCCATGCTGGTGTTCTGGTGGTATGCTGGTGTTCTGGTGGTATGCTGGTGTTCTGGTGGTATGCTGGTGTTCTGGTGCCATGCTGGTGTTCTGGTGGTATGCTGTGTTTTTGTGGTATGCGGGTGTTCTGGTGCCTTGCTGGTGTTCTGGTGCCTTGCTGGTTTTTCTGATGCCATGCTGGTGTTCTGGTGCCATGCTGGTGTTCGGGTGGTATGCTGGTGTTCTGGTGGTAGCTGGTGTTCTGGTGGTATGCTGGTGTTCTGGTGCCATGCTGGTGTTCTGGTGCCATGCTGGTGTTCTGGTGCCATGCTGGTGTTCTGGTGCCATACTGGTGTTCTAGTGCTATGCTGGTGTTCTAGTGCCATGCTGGTGTTCTGGTGCCATGCTGGTGTTCTGGTGCCATGCTGGTGTTCTGGTGGTATGTTTGGTGTTCTGGTGTCATGCTGGTGTTCTGGTGGTATGCTGGTGTTCTGGTGGTATGCTGGTGTTCTGGTGCCATGCTGGTGTTCTGGTGCCATGCTGGTGTTCTGGTGCCATGCTGGTGTTCTGGTGCCATGCTGGTGTTCTGGTGCCATGCTGGTGTTCTGGTGGTATGCTGGTGTTCTGGGGTATGCTGGTGTTCTGGTGGAAATGCTGGTGTTCTGGTGGTATGCTGGTGTTCTGGTGCCTTGCTGGTGTTCTGGTGCCTTGCTGGTGTTCTGGTGCCATGCTGGTGTTCTGGTGCCATGCTGGTGTTCTGGTGCCATGCTGGTGTTCTGGTGCCAGGGCTGGTGTTCTGGTGCCATGCTGGTGTTCTGGTGCCATGCTGGTGTTCTGGTGCCATGCTGGTGTTCTGGTGATATGCTGGTGTTCTGGTGCTATGCTGGTGTTCTGGTGCCATGCTGGTGTTCTGGTGCCATGCTGGTGTTCTGGTGCCATGCTGGTGTTCTGGTGCCATGCTGGTGTTCTGGTGCCATGCTGGTGTTCTGGTGCCATGCTGGTGTTCTGGTGGTATGCTGGTGTTCTGGTGGTATGCTGGTGTTCTGGTGCCATGCTGGTGTTCTGGTGCCATGCTGGTGTTCTGGTGCCATGCTGGTGTTCTGGTGATATGCTGGTGTTCTGGTGCTATGCTGTGTTCTGGTGCCATGCTGGTGTTCTGGTGCCATGCTGGTGTTCTGGTGCCATGCTGGTGTTCTGGTGCCATGCTGGTGTTCTGGTGCCATGCTGGTGTTCTGGTGATATGCTGGTGTTCTGGTGCTATGCTGGTGTTCTGGTGCCATGCTGGTGTTCTGGTGCCATGCTGGTGTTCTGGTGGTATGCTGGTGTTCTGGTGGTATGCTGGTGTTCTGGTGCTATGTTGTTCTGGTGCCATGCTGGTGTTCTGGTGCCATGCTGGTGTTCTGGTGCCATGCTGGTGTTCTGGTGCCATGCTGGTGTTCTGGTGCCATGCTGGTGTTCTGGTGCTATGTTGTTCTGGTGCCATGCTGGTGTTCTGGTGCCATGCTGGTGTTCTGGTGCCATGCTGGTGTTCTGGTGCTATGCTGGTGTTCTGGTGCATGCTGGTGTTCTGGTGCCATGCTGGTGTTCTGGTGCCATGCTGGTGTTCTGGTGCCATGCTGGTGTTCTGGTGCCATGCTGGTGTTCTGGTGCCATGCTGGTGTTCTGGTGCCATGCTGGTGTTCTGGTGCCATGCTGGTGTTCTGGTGCCATGCTGGTGTTCTGGTGCCATGCTGGTGTTCTGGTGCCATGCTGGTGTTTTGGTGCCATGCTGGTGTTCTGGTGCCATGCTCTGAATTGTGGTTTGGAGCGCTGAGCTGTTGTTGGTGATGCTAATGTTGTTATTGATGCTGGTGTTGTTGGTGATGCTGGTGTTATTAGTGATGCTGGTGTTGTTGGTGATGCTGGTGGTGTTGGTGATGCTGGGGAGGAGTGGTCACAGGTGGATGTGACTGTTGACACACTGAGTAGACAGTGACCACAACACTAGCAGAGATTCTGACGAACAGAGATACTGGGATCCTCTAACCACCACAACACTTGTGAAGTAGTTAAATCGCCAGCAGAGAACCACCATTAAGCGCTGGTGGGGTTATAGCTGGGAAACGGCTGCTGGAATGGTGTGTGGCTGACTTCGTGTCGGCTACGAGAGGAAAAGGTTCCAGTATATCCACAGATGCCACATTGAAAGAAGGATCAATCCAAGATCAATGCTTCCCTATTTATCTCGCCTGTGTCGGATGACCCGAGCCGACAATCAAGGCCTAAATACAGAAATAAAAAATTACACACCAGTCGAGAAATCCCTCGCATGATAGGCGTAGGGACTTTAAAAGAAATGGTAAGGATTAAATGACGACTTAACACTACGTAAGTGCAAATCAGGAGAGGAAAAATTTTGCAGAATAAAAACAAAAACAAGAGTGAAGATCTTGTTGAAACCAAATTAACCCGAGCACATAATAAATTAATCAGGAGCGGAATGAATGCTTACAGATTTGATGGGAGCCGAAAGTCAAGTGTCTGACAACTGGTACAGAAGGGGAGGAGGGGTGGTAGTGGGAACGATGCACTCACCTAACAGAATAAGCAGACTGGCCAACAAACTACCACCACCACTCCTATCTAATGAACTTTTCCCCTCACAGGGGTCAACACCCCCCGGCCCGGTCCGTGACCAGTCTTTTTTTAGAGAATAAGACGCATATACAACACCGGGGTATTTTTGTAAATGTATGGTGCACAGTACCAACAAGATGACGGATGTGCAACATCTGGGTAACTACTACTCTTCCAGGTATATTTATTCCTTGTTCTCACTACTATACAAACACTGCGAAAAACATTAGAAAATCCGTCTGTACTTAATCAGTATTACACCTTAATTATTTACGTAATTGAAAGCATTTGTCAATTTCATTTTCATTGTTTTATTGCTTTTTGTGTCCATTGATTCGATTTTTTCCTTTTGAATCGGCTTTTTCCTACTGCATATTTTCTCATCTTGCATTTTTTTTTCATCCCGCATGTTGCTTCGTTATTTTGTTTCGTTTTTCATCCCACCGTCATTTCCTCTCATCCTGCATCATCTCTCATCCTTCATCTCTTACCATGAATTTTCACGTCTCTAGGCAACCCATCACTCATCTTGTTTCTCTCTCATTACGCAGCATCTTCCCTCATCTTGACAACTCTACTTTATCTCTCATCCCCCGTCATCTCCTCTCATCCTGCATCATCATCCTCATCTTGTATCATCTCTCATCTTGTATCATCTCTCACCATGCATCTTCACTCCACTGGACAACTCACCCCTCTGCATCATTTCTCATAACGCACCATCTTTCCTACTCTTGACAACTCTCTCGTTTTTATACAGAGGAGAACTTGGAGTTGACGGAGGCGCAGTAGGTGGCAGCGAAGTGGATGCTCCAGATCCTTGTAACTTGGAGTACCACGCGGCGCAGCTGGAGAAGTTCCTTATGGAGTATAGGAGTCTGCAGGAGCAGCTCTACAGAATGAAGGAATCATACGAGGCCAGCCAACGCTCAGAGAGGCAAGTCCAACACGTAGGATCTTGGTAAGACTTATGTGTAGCACTTATGTGTCTTTACTGATGACAAAGGCACCTAAGTATAACACAAGTGTTATACTTATCACCTATTGCAAACCAGTTACTGTAATAAGGATATGCCCTGGATCTTACTAAACTTACACAAACAAGTCAAACATCGAATATATTTTGATTCTTGCTTACAGAAGTCAGCATGACACACGCCGAGTCTCTTACAAATTTTACTCACGATAACAAACCACATTCTTATGTTCCAATATTGCTCATAAGCTAATAAATCACACCTTATCATACTAATATTGCTCACAGTACAACTGATTCGAAATCGTTTAACAAATACCATATTTTCCGGTCAAAAACTACTGAAATATTTTAAGATTTTTTTTTTTTTAGGTCTAAATTTTTCGTATCGGCAGAAACTGCCAGCATTTTGTTTTTGTTTAATCAGCTTGTTCTGCTATGTAGAGTATTATGCTTTATTTGAAAGCGCCTTTCATAAGACGAGTGCCTTGATGATGAAGGGCTCTTGGTCCAAGGAAGTGGATTATACTTGGTAACGTCCCATTCCTTTTGATCTAATTCCTTCACTATATTATCATTATTATTATTATTATTATTATTATTATTATTATTATTATTATTATCGTAACGGCAAATTATCAAGGGTCGTACAGCACTGTCCCTTCAATATAAATATATGTTAATAATTATACAGTTTAGTTATTGAGTTATTCGGAAAGTAAGCCATGAATGTTATTTCTCTTGCAGAAGTGATAATCTTCACGAAGAGGTCAGCGGTGAGGTTGAGGACGACCACGTGCCTCCACCCTGTCCAGAAGCCCCTGCTACCTCCCCCTCCCCCTACACCCTCCCCCCAAGTGAGCTCCCTGCAGCAGAGATGCAAGAAGAAGCTCTCATGAGCACAGAGCCGCTCAGGTCCATCCTGAAGAAGAGATACGAAGAAGGTGCTCGGGGTCTTCCAGGTCTTCAGGGTCTGTTGGGGCTCCAAGGTCTGCAGGGTCTTAAGAGTCTCCAGAGTCTCCAAGGGCTACAAAGTCTTCAAGGCCTTCAGGGACTACAAGGACTCAAGGAGCTGCAAAACCTCCAGGGAGATTATTCTCAAAGTGCCTACCACAGCGAGGACTCCGACCGCCTCCGTCCCACGTTCGGACTGCCTCACCACACCTTCCTTGACCACGAGTCCTGAGTCCCGCTGAGGAAGGGTGAGTACCTGACTCAGAGCAGAAATGAGATAGTGGTCAGTAGTGGTAAATCCGTTCCGCGGTTCATGAAAATGAACCACTGAACGGATCTGGTTTGAACCAATGGAGAGCGAGTCGTAGAACTCCAGGCCAATGGATCAACCAAACAAATTACGGTACGGGTGAGGTTATGGCATTGTTGTTACTGTTGAGTAAAAAAACAAGTGCAACTAATGCGACATTTTATTGTGGCAACGTTTCACTCTCCAGGGCTTTGTCAAGCCGTTGCAAACAATACATGGACACAAAGTATATATAGGCTTTAGAGTGAGGTGAAACGTTCAGAATAATCGTCTTAGAGGTAGATTTACAACCAGTGGCGTGCAGAGGTCTGGTGATGCCAGAGGCCAACTCCTTGATTGTATGCCCCAAAGACTCCTTGATTGTATGCCACAAATCACTGTCTTAATTCCTTCTCTATTTGGATGTCTTCCCCTCCCATTTGGATTCCCAGGGCCACCGCCCCTTCGGCCCCCCTCTGCACGCCACTGTTTACACCTCACTCTAAGCATATATATATATGTGTCCATGCATTGTAACGGCTTGACAAAGCTCCTGGAGAGCGAAACGTTGCCACAATAAAACTTCACATTAGTTGAACTTGTGTCCTTATACTTAACATATTGTCGGCAATTCTACCAATATTATTACAATGTTGTTATTGTCTGGTAATCATTTGGAAATATGAGTTAATATATGTAAACTAACCAAACATAATCTAACAGAATAAAAATGCATTAACATGTTCGATAAGCTTCGTGAGAGTAGAAATTCACGAGGATAATTCGTGACCCAACAAAAGTTACCCTAACTTGAGCACAGGTTGTTGTATTACGAAATAGGAATTTGCTGAGGCACAGGTATTGGGTCAGTACCACGATATACAAGCCAGTAGGGGAATGGGAATGGGGTCATTATCATGAGAAACAGGCAAGAATAGGAATGGGTATTTGGTCAGTAGAATGATATAAAGACCAGCAGGTTAATAGTTAGGAAAGGATGTGAAATAAAGGTGAGAAACGGGTCTAGGGAAGGTGGAAATAAATATTGGCATTGTGCTGGAGATTAGACACATGTGTAACATGTGGGTATCTTTACTGTAAAGATACCCAGATGTTACATATGGTATTGTATACCACTCGCATACATACATACATACATACATACATACATACATACATACATACATACATAGCGCTGGAAATTCAGGTCATACAGTGACTTATGCATCAAAATCTGGTCATGGAAGTGCCATATCCAGATTTATTTAGCTGCCGGGGTATACTAGACCTCCAAACGCAAGCCATGGTGGCTAAAGCTCCCGCTTCACACACGGAGGGCCCGGGTTCGATTCCCGGCGGGTGGAAACATTTCGACACGTTTCCTTACACCTGTTGTCCTGTTCACCTAGCAGCAAATAGGTACCTGGGTGTTAGTCGACTGGTGTGGGTCGCATCCTGGGGGACAAGATTAAGGACCCCAATGGAAATAAGTTAGACAGTCCTCGATGACGCACTGACTTTCTTGGGTTATCCTGGGTGGCTAACCCTCCGGGGTTAAAAATCCGAACGAAATCTTATCTTATCTTAACGAATGGGGTTTAAACGCATGGCTAATAAGCCATAAAACTCCAGGCCGGTGCGTAAACCACTCGGCCACTGGCATGTAGTTTAACGACTAACTACAGGATTAAACCCCACCCGATCCGTGGTTTGTTTACAGTAGTGTTATTACTATTTCGTTAATCACGCACAATAATATGCAACATCCAATAAAATTACGCACCATTGCTGGCACACTAACCACTCATTTGCACCCAATAATTTGCATCCCTCCCACCAAATACAAATCATACAGGAAAATACAATACAGGAAATTATTTCACAATGTTAGGTAATATGATACAAGTACAATTAACGGGACATTTTTATTGAGGCAGCGTTTCGCTTTACAGGAGCTTTGTCACGGTTTGACAAAGCTCCTGGAGAGCGAAATGTTGTCATAATAAAGAAAGAGCAGTTGCATACAGGCACTCTGCTGAGATGTTTCGCCTGTGGACACCTTCTTCATTGAGTGAAGGTTTTTGACTCCAGTTAGAACATCCTTAATTGAGATGCCTCAAAATCTAAAGAGGTCCAGGTAGCCATATTGGAGACGCTAAATCCATACAAGCAAAATTATCTTACCACTATCACTACCACCACTATCACTACCACCATATCATACATCATACCACACATCCAACGACATATCACACCACCAGACTATCACTACACCACTATCATATCAACACTATCATACCAGCACTCTATCACTACACCTCCATGATGCATACACCAACAACACTACACTAACCACCACATATCAACCATCCATATAACACTACCATCACTATCATAACACCACTATCACTACACACCACTATCACTACCACACCACTATCACTACCACCACCATCACTACCACCACCATCACTACCACCACCACTACCACCACATATCACCACCACCACTATCACTACCACCACTATCACTACCACCACTATCACTACCACCACTATCACTATCACCACTATCACTACCACCACTATCACTACCACCACTATCACTACCACCACTATCACTATCACCACTATCACTACCACCACTATCACTACCAGCACTATCACTACCACCACTATCACTACACCACTATCCTACCACACACTATCACTACCACCACTATCACTACCACCACCACTATCACTACCACCACCACTATCACTACCACCACCACTATCACTACCACCACTATCACTACCACCACTATCACTACCACCACTATCACTACCACCACTATCACTACCACCACTATCACTCCACCCTATCACTACCACCACTATCACTACCACCACTATCACTACCACCACTATCACTACCACCACTATCACCACCACCACTATCATCCACCACCACTATACACTACCACCACTATCACTCCACCACTATCACTCACCACCACTATCACCACCACCACTATCACCACCACCACTATCACTACCACCACTATCACTACCACCACTATCACTGCCACCGCTATCACTGCCACCACTATCACTACCACCACTATCCACCCATCACCACCACCTATCACCACCACCACTATCACCACCACCACTATCACCACCACCACTATCACCACCACCACTATCACCCCACCACTATCACCACCACCACTATCACCACCACCACTATCACTCACCACCACTATCACTACCACCACTATCACGCCACGCTATCACTGCCACCACTATCATACACACTATCACCACCACACTATCACACCACTACACCACCACCACTATCACACCACCACACTACACCACCACCACTATCACTCACCACTATCACCCACACTATCACCCACCACTCACCACACACTATCACTACACTCTACCACCATATCACTACCACACTATCACTACCACCACTATCACTACCACACTATCACTCACATCACAGCACCCTATCACTAACCACCACTATCACTACCAGCACTATCACTACCAGCACTATCACTACCAGCACTATCACTACCAGCACTATCACTACCAGCACTATCACTACCAGCACTATCACTACCAGCACTATCACTACCACAGCACTATCACTACCTACCAGCACTATCACTACCAGCACTATCATACCACACTATCACACTATCACCCACACTATCACTACCACCACACTATCACTCACCACCACACTATCACTACCACACCACTATCACTACCACCACATCACCACCCACCCACACTATCACCACCACCATCACCTCCACCACCATCACCACCACCACTATCACCCCACCATCACTCCACCACCATCACCACCACCACTATCACCACCACCACTATCACCACCACCACACCACCACCACTATCACCACCACCACTATCACCACCACCACTATCACCACCACCACTATCACCACCACCACTATCACTACCACCACTATCACTACCACCACTATCACTACCACCACTATCACTACCACCACATCACTACCACCACCACTATCACTACCACCACCACTATCACTACCACCACCACTATCACTACCACCACCACTATCACTACCACCACCACTATCACTACCGCCACCACTATCACTACCACCACCACTATCACTACCACCATTATCACTACCACCACCACTATCACTACCACCACCACTATCACTACCACCACCACTATCACTACCACCACCACTATCACTACCGCCACCACTATCACTACCGCCACCACTATCACTACCACCACCACTATCACTACCACCATTATCACTACCACCACTATCACTGTCACCACTATCACTACCAGCACTATCACTACCAACACTATCACTACCACCAGCACTATCACTACCACCAGCACTATCACTACCACCACCACTATCACCACCACCACCACTATCACCACCACCACCACTATCACCACCACCACTATCACCACCACCACTATCACTACCACCACTATCACTACCACCACCACCACCACCACCGCTACCACCACTACCATTGTCACCACCAACACTATCACCACCACTATCACCACTATCGCTACCACTGTCACCACCATTACCACCACCATTACCACTGACTGGTGATCTTTGAACCTTCCAAGACTACGACAGTCAACTGAGTATATTACTCTAAATATATATAGTTATTCTTAACTTATTTGAGACGCTACTAGAAACTCTTGCTAGAAATCTTTGATATTTTCTGTCAATGAAATTCGCGTAATATTCAGCCTAGGACACAATTTTACGATATTCTGTTCTGAATTTCAAGTCAGGATTCCAGCTTCTTATTTCATGATGGGGACGGGTAAGCCAAGCGAAGGTCTCTCAATTGTCCACAAGCGCCACTAAATGGGTCATCATATGATTAAGTCCCGAATTTTGTCCAATTCTAACTTAAAATACTTTTGTTGGATGTGTTGTCGACTAGTGTATTGCCGACAAGTGTATTGCCGACAAGTGTATTGCCGACAAGTGTATTGCCGACAAGTGTATTGCCGACAAGTGTATTGCCGACAAGTGTATTGCCGACAAGTGCCGTAGAATGATACTTTTACTGTGACGACGTTTCGCTCAGTTCAGAGCCTTAGTAAGTTATGACTTGTGTAAAGCATTACTTTAAGCAAAACATCGTTTTCCCCGGCACTTCCAGCACTGTACCTAACGTGATGTCCTACTCATCATGATCCAGGAAACAGATTACATTATTCATAATACTAATACTATCTACCTCGTCTTCCACAGTAAACAGTGAAGAGGCAGCGACAAGATCGGGCTGGAACTGGGGCGAAGTAAGTACTCAGGTTAAAACTGGAACGCAAGGCGACTACGGAAATTAAGCAGCAGTGGTAAAATGAAATGGTCTCCTGAAGACACAGGTGGAACGGGAGAAACCTGAGGCGACAGCAGAACCAGTGAGGTAACGATATTACAATGAGTGTGGGAGAAGGTGCTGGTTATAATGAAGGACGGATGATTACTATGCGAATGGAAGGTGAAAATAGCGAGGTAGGGATAATGATGTGAATGTAAGGGGAGAGAGCGTCACAGGGATAATGTATGTGTGTGTGTGAATGTGAGGGTAGACAGCGACACGGAGAAGACAGTCTAAGAGGAATGTATGTGTGAATGCAAGGGTAGACAGTGAAACAGGGATAATGTATGTGTGAATGCGAGGGTAGACAGTGAAACAGGGATAATGTATGTGTGAATGCGAGGGTAGACAGTGAAACAGGGATAATGTATGTGTGAATGCGAGGGTAGACAGTGAAACAGGGATAATGTTTGTGTGAATGTGAGGGAAGACAGACAAACAGGGTTGCGTAAACGTGAGAAATACAGACAAACGTAAATAACGAGTGTGTTAACAGCAGGAAAAAGAACGAAGCAAAGATGATGAGAACATATGCTCGTGTGAGTGTGTTAAGGAGGAGGTGATAGACACGAAAGGATAAACAGAAACAAATGAGAGAAGACACGTCCCAATAAGCGAATTGTGTTATATTAACGGGAAAATTTCTAGACGGGTAGAGGCAATAGAGCGCATGGAGAACGGAGAGATAATCAAGCTCGAATCAAGGTAGCAAAATGGTAGCTACAGGTCTCTTAATCAAGTCCTCTGTTAGCATCAAGGCACCTTCCCGCGAAGGAAAATCACACCGTATCAAGGTAGCGAAATGGTAGCTACAGGTCTCTTAATCAAGTCCTCTGTTAGCATCAAGGCACCTTCCCGCGAAGGAAAATCACACCGAGATGGAATAAGAGACAATAAGATTTTCTTTATTGAAAATATTTTGGGCTCCGGACCTTGATTACTGCAAAAACAAGATGTATTTGAAGTAATCAAGGTCCAAGGAATGAAACATATGCAACATCTGGGTATCTTTCTTTGTAGACGTTTCGCCCTCAAGTAGCTTCATCAATACAATATAAAGACATAATGTGAAGATTATATATAGTCCTACAGTCTTCACATCATATCCTTGTATTGATAAAGCCACTGGATGGGCGAAACGTCTACAAATAAAGATACCCAAATGTTGCATATGTATGTATGAATCCCCTGATGGCCACCATGAAACCATTTACAGTCCACGAACCACGTACAATGAACCCTGACGATAAATGGTATAAAATACGGACACGATGGAAAAATTAAACACGAATGCAGTATAGTGCGATCCTTTATTGACAACGTTTCGCCCACACAGTTGGCTTTATCAGGTCACAAACGGATTTATCTGGTGGAGAATGTCGAGTAGGTTGGATTTGAGACGGTCTTTCACGGGACTCGTGAAATTGTAATGACTCGATTGCAAACGAACCATGCCACGGGTGGGGTTAGAACCCGCGATCAGAGAGTCATTAAACTCCTTGTTAGATGAATCTTATTATGGCTAGCTGGTCCAGTGGCTAACGCGTCGGTCTGGAGTTTTATGACTCTCTGATCGCGGGTTCTAACCCCGCCGATGGTATGGTTTGCAATCGTGTCATTACGATTTCGTGAGTCATGTTGACGGCTTTGAGGGGACTTGAGCTAGAGTTCGTCACGGCCACGCTAGCGGGAGATTCGTCTGTAAAAATTTGCATTTGTGGTCACAGTGGTGGCCTATGCTAACCTTCCTATGGTGTAGAAATATGCCTAGTTGGATGATTATTATAATCATGGGGAGCGCTAAACCCGTAGGATTATAGATCGCACGTCAGGGAAAAATGGAAGGTATCCAGGCTTAATTCAGGGAACCGGAGCACAGATCCAATTCCCTAGATCAAGAGCCCCTCACCAGCATCAAGGAACCTCCCTTGAGGGGATCCTAGATGGATGAATCTGGTCCATTGGCTAACGCGTCGGTCTGGAGTTTTGTGACTGTCTGATCGCGGGTTCTATCCCCACCCGTGGCATGGTTTAGTAAGAGACAGTGAATGTAAAGCTGGAGTTATTTAACAAGACGAACAGAGGGCAGTAGAGGACCTACATTTTTGGGGCCATTATGCTTGAACTGTTATGCGGGGGGCCCCTTTGCAACCCCTTCTCATAGAGCAGATCTATAAAAAATTTAAGCACTGTGGTCTGAAGTCGATTCTGGGGCCCCTCAGGGATAGTAGACCCACCCCTGGTCGAGGGTCAGCTAGACCACTTCACGCTACATCGGGACAACAAATGAATGATTCCAGTCAAACTCAGCCTCGTAGCACTAGACTACCAAATATGATTCCAGTCTCAAAACTCCAGCCCGTCGCGTTAGCCACTAGACCAGCTAGCCACAATACCGCGGTCATAGTTTCAAAACTCCAGCCCGTCGCGTTAGCCACTAGACCAGCTAGCCACAATACCGCGGTCATAGAGTCTCAAAACTCCAGCCCGTCGCGTTAGCCACTAGACCAGCTAGCCACAATACCGCGGTCATAGAGTCTCAAAACTCCAGCCCGTCGCGTTAGCCACTAGACCAGCTAGCCACAATACCGCGGTCATAGTCTCAAAACTCCAGCCCGTCGCGTTAGTTAGTGGCTAACGCGACGGGCTGGAGTTTTGAGACTCTATGACCGCGGGTTCAATCCCGGCCGGGGGTATGAATGATTCCAGTCTTTGACACGGACTCCCCTTTTGACTTTTATCAATAGATTTATTATACAGACTTTGAATATACTTGCTTTAACACTTCTTATCGTCGTTACCATTACTCTGTTATATTCTTCACTCTTGCTAGTCACATATCAAGTATATTACATATTTAGCATACCCTAACCTGTAGCGCTGTATCACCCTTGTATTTTTAACTCTTAATTGTGATTATATAAATAATTCTAATAAATAATATACATTTTTGGAAGATGCAGCCCGACAGGCGGAGGATAAAATACAAATTTTTTCTCATAAACTTTCTGAATTTTAGTAAAATTTTAGAGAAATTTCTAAATTACTTAAAACAGGACTGTTTGCCGGAACGTTATCTGTGTCTACTCCTTATATTATATATTATTATATAATTATATATATATATATATAACAAGGAATTCGCGAGAGCAGGCGAAATATACACAAACACTGATCTCGGGCTGAAGGAGACTCGAACCTACGAACCTTGGAACAAGGTACGCAGTGCTATACCAAACTCACCACACTGGACCAATTCCTTGGAGTCCAGCTTGCGCTAGACTTTGATCCAAGGCAGCCAGCTTTCAGGGAGAAGGCTCTCCTTCAGCCAGAGATCAGTGTTTGCGTATATTTCGCCTGCTTTTGCGAATTCCTTGCATATATTATATATAATATATATATATATATATATATGCAATAAGATCACAGTAAACAGGTGATTTAAAATATGCAAAACAACCACTCTGAAAGAATAGAGAAATTCCAAGCGCTTTCGTGACTACTCACAATGTGAGTAGTCACGAAAGCGCTTGGAATTTCTCTATTCTTTCAGAGTGGTTGTTTTGCAATATATATATATATATATATTATATATATATATATATATAATATATATATATTTATATATATATATATATATATATATATATATATATATATATGTGTGTGTGTGTGTGTTTTTCCTACAGAGAAAGAACTAGTGAACCGGCATGGGAGGCTCGAGAAGGGCTCGAGAAGGGCTCGAAACATCACGAGACCAGCTCTAAACAGCGTGAGAGGAACTCGAAACATCACGAGACCAGCTCTAAACAGCGTGAGAGGAACTCGAAACATCACGAGACCAGCTCTAAACAGCGTGAGAGGGACTCGATACATCACGAGACCAGCTCTAAACAGCGTGAGAGGGACTCGAAACATCACGAGACCAGCTCTAAACAGCGTGAGAGGGACTCGAAACATCACGAGACCAGCTCTAAACAGCGTGAGAGGAACTCGAAACATCACGAGACCAGCTCTAAACAGCGTGAGAGGGACTCGAAACATCACGAGACCAGTTCTAAACTTAAGAACTGGTCGAAACATGAAGAGACCATCTCTAAACAGCATGAAGACAGGTCGAAACTCGACAGGAGCTCGGAAAGTTCTTCAAATTCACTTCGCAAACACGAACCTGTGTTGGTCTTCGTTCTGATCTGTATTTTATGAAAAAATATGAATATTATTTAACATTATGATAATGATTTGTTAATATTTATAATTAACATATTTAACGTTGGAGTTTCTGTGACTGTATTTGCTGCCCAGTGGTGAGATTGCTCAGAAACTACTATTCTATTTGCGGATGGAGGATCGAGTCTCCACTAACACTTGAGGTGAATGACCCATATGGATTTACAGCTTTCGTGATGTATAAGAGAGCTGCGGAAGGATTTAAGAAGACGCACTTAATCCTGTCTTATCGTCACTGTCTCTTTCTCTCTCTCTCTCACTACAGTGTTACAATCTTAGGTAAGGATTAAAGCAGCAGGGTGCAAGCATATTTAATCCAGGGATAGCTCCGATTACTTGGATCAAGAGCCCTTCACCAGCAGTTGATTGGAACTGTTTTCGGGAGCTGGAGATATATATTTATACACCGAGAGGTATACCTGGGTATAGTCTCATGGATTATATCTCTTACGTGTATATGCACCCAAAGTATACTTTAGCACCTGTTTTAAGGATTATTCTTCATGTTCACATGCCTTATTGACGTAAGTGTAGTCGATAGGCATCAAACTTAGTGAGAGTACCAGATAATCACAATACAGGAGTAACTGAATGAGTTGATGAGCTTACTGGGAAACGAGTGTGTGGAATTACGATAATTAACAGGTTAAATGTTAAGATGATTCCAGTAGTGGTAACAGACTTGAACACAAATTATTGCAACGAAAAATGTAAATTAGTATTTCGTCTCCCAACTGGAACCTTCATCAGCAGACTGAATACTAGGGAGGTATCTTAGTGCTGTGTTCAGCTCTTCACTTGACTTGTCAATCTTGTGTATTGTGCAGATGAGGGCTGAAGATAGGAATTGAAAGATACTCTCGTTTCCATTGATGACAATGTCTGCTTGCCTTGTTCATCTGTTTCATCCAGCAGCTACTGGACTAAACAGCATCTACTGGACAAAGTAACAGATACTGGACAAAACAGCAGATACTAGAATGTACACGTTGGGTTCACTGTGACACTGCTGTGCTATTGCCGGCCTCTACAGTGGAGAGTATTTATTTTTACCAGGGGTAGCCAGCCATCCAAAATATTCCAGTGTCTTCGTTCCAGTTCACAAGAGGCGACGAGGCAACCAGCACTTTTTATCCCGAGGGATGTAGTGTGTTTTAACTTGTACACAACTGTAAGGAGGCAGCAAGCGTTCAAGCTTGCCAAGGGAAACACTGAGAGACCCAGTGGTTCATCCTGGTGATAGGGAACAGTTGAGTGCTCCATCCTACACAGGGAGAAGGTGGGAAGCCAGTGTCTCATCATGTCCAGGGAGAGGAAGGCAGCAAGTATTTCATTACACCCAAAGAAGGGAAGGCAGCCAGTATTCCATTATACCCAGTGAGAGGAAGTCAGCACATATTTCATCATACCCAAGGAGAGGAAGGCAGCCATCATGTTATCATACCCACGGAGAAGGCAGTCTGCATGTCATTATACCCAAGGAGACGGAAGCATAGTGTTCCATCTTGCTGAGGGAGTGTGAGGCGGTGTTCCATCCTAATCATCTACAGTAATACAACAATATTGTTCCATTGTACCCTGTTGTATACCTTTATTGACTTAATACGAAGTCGACGATATTTCCCTGAATGTAACAGCCGTTTAAAGCACGATATCACTTAGCATGATACCACAATTGCGGGTATCTGAAATCAATAAAAATTGATTTTACACTTCACACACCTGCAATTCCATTATACGCAAAGACGCAAAAGGACGGCGACGCAACCTTGCGTCTTCTACCGCGAGGTGGTGCGGCTACCTAGTTTCCGAGGCGCGTTACTCGCTAGCATCTCAACACCTGTGTGTTTATTCCGTCTCACCTGTGTCTCCTGGAACACCTGGAAAGTAAATGAGGTCAGTTATTGGTACCAAGTTGTTGCCTTCGTTTATTCCAGGTAATAACAGCTGTGTGTTAGGTAATTTAAAAGGGCATTTTAATCAGAGAAAAGCCATTTTTACTATTCCTTAATAGTGGGAGATGAAGCCTCGGGGTGGAAAGTGATTTTCAAGAAATTTCGCCCCCAGGTTAAAGTGTCTAAATTACCACTTGTAGACTATGTCTACCAGCTGTGTGTTTACTTGCCTCCCCCCCTCCAACCTCCCTCCCCCACGAACCTACTTCCCCCCTCCAACCTCCCCTCCCCCACACACACCCCCCTCCTACCTCCCCTCCCGGTGGACGCTGCCCAAACATTACTGGGAGGTTTTTTCGGATTCTTATTCACACGTTTTGTCTTCTTTATAAGATCTATGTTACGAATGAACATAAACTTGTTAGTTTTTTAAAGAAAAACTTGTATTTTTGTACAAATAAAACTGAAAATAAACGTTTATTGTTAAACCAGGACTTAAATACTTTACCTTAACACAAGAGTGCTAACAAAAGGCGTTTAATCAATACCAACACTGCGACTAGCCGGGGAATCGAACATGGGTTCGATCCCCCGGCTAGTCGCAGACTTGTTATTGATTATATATAATCACTGCACTAGCCAAGGAGTCGAACCCATGCTGCTTTGGCCCGCGTTTTCGTTCATCATGAGGCGGGCCAAAGCTGCATGGGTTCGACTCCTTGGCTAGTGCAGTGTTGTTATTGATTAATATCACTTGTTTCGTGGGTACAGTAATATATATACATAGTGAAGGGTAAACAGGTTTGATCCTAGTAAGGGGAGATTGACTCCATTTCCTTTGATCAAGAGCCTTTCATTATCATCAAGGATATGGAATCTGTCAGTGTGTTTAACTGCGTTTTTAGCTGTCTTGAAAACAAGAATTTCTAATTAAATTTCATATCTTATAAACTTGCCACTACCCACATGAGCGTAGTTGCGTAGGCTGGCGTAGTTCCTTTCCAAACAAACTCAGGTCTGATCCGAGGAAGGTGAGTTGGGTTGTGCTGGTTGTAAAATCATCCTATTGTAAAATAAATGGCTAGAATTATAACCTTAATCATTAAAGAGGTGGAGTGGTAAGCCAGTGGAAGGCCTCAGTCAGAGGACCAAAAGCTCCAGCTGTGGGTCATATGACTTAGACCCGCGTCAGGGAACATTTCTCCTTACAAACCTTACCTAACCTATCTTATTGTAATTTCCGTGGCTGAGTCGCTACGGAGTTGAGCCTGTAATATGCAAGCCCCACAGTTCGATTCCCTGTCTGGTATTCTATCTATTTACGTGTACATAATAAATTTTTGGCAGTCTGTCTGTGCCTGTCTGTCTCTCTTTCTCTCTTTCTTTGTCTGTCTCTGTCTCTGTCTCTGTCTCTGTCTCTGTCTCTCTCCTCTCTCTCTCTCTGTCTCTGTCTCTGTCTCTGTCTCTGTCTCTGTCTCTGTCTCTGTCTCTCTCTCTGTCTCTGTCTCTGTCTCTGTCTGTCTCTCTCTCTCTCTCTCTCTCTCTCTCTCTCTCTCTCTCTCTCTCTCTCTCTCTCTCTCAAGATTATCACCTATCTATTCACCTCCTGACGTCGTTTCGGTCTGCTCTGGACCTCTGTCAAGTTGCAGACGATGTAACAAATTGTACGGATGTTCCACGGATGCGGATGCGGATACCCGATACATCCCTACTTGACGCTGGTCCAGGAGGGTCGAAACATCGTCATTAGGTTCCTCTAGGTGCGAGGTTTTGGTAAATTATTCTAGCTACCCTACTGTCACATTTTTATTCCTCACCAAATTTGGTATACAGGGCTGAGTTCCAGCTCCTGGTTCCGCCTCATAATTATCACTCTTACTAGCTGGTTCACATGAGATCCCTATGTCTCGTATGAGGCCCCTATGTCTCGTATGAGATCCCTATGTCTCGTATGAGGTCCCTATGTCTCGTATGAGGTCCCTATGTCTCGTATGAGGTCCCTATGTCTCGTATGAGGTCCCTATGTCTCGTATGAGGTCCCTATGTCTCGTATGAGATCCCTATGCCTCGTATGAGGTTCCTATGTCTCGTATGAGGTCCCTATGTCTCGTATGAGGTCCCTATGTCTCGTATGAGATCCCTATGTCTCGTATGAGGTCCCTATGTCTCTTATGAGGCCTCTGTCTCGTATGAGATCCCTATGTCTAGTATGAGATCCCTATGTCTCGTATGAGATCCCTGTGTCTCGTATGAGGTCCCTATGTCTCGTATGAGATCCCTATGTCTCGTATGAGGTCCCTATGTCTCGTATGAGGTCCCTATGTCTCGTATGAGGTCCCTGTGTCTTGTATGAGGTCCCTATGTCTCGTATGGTGTACCTATATCTCGTATGAGGTCCCTATGCCTAGTATGAGATCCTTATGTCTCGTATGAGATCCCTATGTCTCGTATGAGATCCCTATGTCTCGTATGAGATCCCTGTGTCTCGTATGAGGTCCCTATGTCTCGTATGAGATCCCTATGTCTCGTATGAGGTCCCTATGTCTCGTATAAGGTCTCTGTCTCGTATGAGATCCCTATGTCTCGTATGAGGTCCCTATGTCTCTTATGAGATCCCTATGTCTCGTATGAGATCCCTATGTCTAGTATGAGATCCCTATGTCTCGTATGAGGTCATTATGTCTCGTATGAGATCCCTATGTCTCGTATGAGATCCCTATGTCTCGTATGAGGTCCCTCTGTCTCGTATGGAATCCCTATGTCTCGTATGAGATCCCTATGTCTCGTATGAGGTCCCTATGTCTCGTATGAGATCCCTATGTCTCGTATGAGGTCCCTATGTCTCGTATGAGATCCCTATGTCTCGTATAAGATCCCTATGTCTCGTATGAGGTCCCTATGTCTCGTATGAGGTCCCTATGTCTCGTATGAGGTCCCTATGTTTCGTATGAGATCCCTATGTCTCGTATGAGATCCCTATGTCTCGTATGAGATCCCTATGTCTTGTATGAAATCCCTATGTCTCGTATGAGGTCCCTATGTCTTGTATGATGTCCCTATGTCTTGTATGAGACCCCTATGTCTCGTATGAGGTCCCTATGTCTCGTATGAGATCCCTATGTCTTGTATGAGATCCCTATGTCTCGTATGAGGTCCCTATGTCTCGTATGAGGTTCCTATGTCTCGTATGAGATCCCTATGTCTCGTATGAGATCCCTATGTCTTGTATGAGATTCCTATGTCTCGTATGAGGTCCCTGTGTCTCGTATGAGATCCCTATGTCTTCTATGAGATTCCTATGTCTCGTATGAGGTCCCTATGTCTCGTATGAGGTCCCTATGTTTCGTATGAGATCCCTATGTCTCGTATGAGATCCCTATGTCTCGTATGAGATCCCTATGTCTTGTATGAAATCCCTATGTCTCGTATGAGGTCCCTATGTCTTGTATGATGTCCCTATGTCTTGTATGAGACCCCTATGTCTCGTATGAGGTCCCTATGTCTCGTATGAGATCCCTATGTCTTGTATGAGATCCCTATGTCTCGTATGAGATCCCTATGTCTCGTATGGAATCCCTATGTCTCGTATGAGATCCCTATGTCCCGTATGAGGTCCCTATGTCTCGTATGAGGTCCCTCTGTCTCGTATGGAATCCCTATGTCTCGTATGAGGTCCCTATGTCTCGTATGAGGTCCCTATGTCTCGTATGAGGTCACTATGTCTCGTATGAGATCCCTGTGTCTCGTATGAGGTCCCTATGTCTCATCGGTAGTCAATGTCTCCTTGTTCTTATTTCGTTCTGCTGAATGGCCCAAATGGGTTTAGCGCTATATAAAAATATTAATTAATAATAAAAGATGAAAATTATATTTATAAATTGTAAAAATTATAAATAATAATCTTTATTTCTACAAGTATGTGGTGCAACTTGAACATACCATAGCTCATATAAATGATATACTAAATAGAAAGTCCCTGGTTATGCAGAACATTTCCCCAGGATGCCACCCAGATCAGTCGACTAACACCCGGGTACCTAGTTACTGCTAGGTGAACATGGACAGCAGGAATCTTAAGGAAATACCCCCTAATGTTTCCACCCCTACCGGGGATCGAACCACGGATCTCAGTGTGTGAGGTGAGTGCGCTACCAACCCGGCTACGGGATATAAGAGGTACCGTGGAAAACATGACTAAACCTCTACCGGAATCAATACATTTCGAAGTTTATTGAGAGAGAGAGAGAGAGAGAGAGAGAGAGAGAGAGAGAGAGAGAGAGAGAGAGAGAGAGAGAGAGAGAGAGAGCATTTTCCCGGTTATATTTACTTTGCCATCACTTACTCAGTCTTGGGAACAGTCTTGTCAGTCTTGAACAAGACACGTTCAACACTCGCCTGTCTTTATTACCTAAAGTTATCGCCTGCACGACAGACTTCTTCAGTAGAAGAAAGCATGAAGAATGAAAAGAAAATAGTAGTAGTAGTAGTAATAGTGGTAAAATAGTTATATTACTACTAAAGTAGAAGTTGTAACAGTGGTAGGAAATAATTGTAATAGCAGTAGTAGTAGTAGTAGTAGTAGTTGTAGTAATAGCAGTAGTAGTAGTAGTTGTAGTTGTAGTAATAGCAGTAGTAGTAGTAGTAGTAGTTGTAGTAATAGCAGTAGTAGTAGTAGTTGTAGTTGTAGTAATAGCAGTAGTAGTAGTAGTTGTAGTTGTAGTAATAGCAGTAGTAGTAGTAGTTGTAGTAATAGCAGTAGTAGTAGCAGTAATCGCAGCAGTAGTAAAAGTAATAGTATCAGCAATATTAGTGATAATAGTAGCAGTATTTGTTGTAGTAACAGTAGAAGCAGCAGTAATAGTAGCAGTAGTAGTAGCAGTAGTAGTACGCAGCAAGCATTTCCCCTCTGGACGGCCCCACTGCGGCGCTGGAAGATGAAAGTGCTCGCACTCGGGTCCCTGGTAGTGTCGAGTCTGGAACCCAGTTCTTCAAGGAAGACCGTGTGTATATATATATATATATATATATATATATATATATATATATATATATATATATATATATATATATATATATATATATATATATATATATATATATATATATATGCAAAACAACCACTCTGAAAGAATAGAGAAATTCCAAGCGCTTTCGTGACTACTCACATTATCATAGTTCCTTGATAATGTGAGTAGTCACGAAAGCGCTTGGAATTTCTCTATTCTTTCAGAGTGGTTGTTTTGCATATTTTGAAATCACCTGTTTACTGTGATCTTATTGCATATAATATATATATATATATATATATATATATATATATATATATATATATATATATATATATAT